GGATCTCTAGAGTTCTCCTCCCGGTATATATGAGGCATTCATTATTTTTAAACTGCTGCCCACCATGGCAGATATCCTGAACAAATGCCACTAAATGAAGAAAATAAGCCAAAATTCAAACATGCTATGCTTACCCTCAACTAAAATGGTATTTACTAGAATAAGAAATAGTGAGAAGTTCCAAAGATTTAAAGAGTCCTTCAGTCCCTACACATTGTTCACGAAGACAGATTCCCGAATGATGAGCAAACGTGAATGCCTCTTTGACCCAGCTAGTCACACCATCGATTGAGGAATATGCAGGAAAATGTCTATTTCCTAGTTTCTCCTGCCCTGAGCCAAGTTCATCCTCAAAGAGCCTGTTTCACTTTGTATTGTCATTGTGTTGTGACTTGCAAACCTCAATCTTTAAGGAATTTTGAGAGAAGAATGACATTTTGTACAGGCTGTGAAGTCTTGACAAAACCTCCATTCTATTTTCTCCTTTACAAGAATCTTTTGTACCTGAAGTAAAAAGACTTTGACTAACTCTTTGATGGTGGTAGAAGGAATCACAGATTTATAGATAGCTCTGAAAGAAGTAAAAAAACAACCCAACCTATTCATTTTCCTAAAATACTATTGGATATAAACCCATGGTCACAGATCACCGAAGGCGCCCTCAGTGTATAAACCAGGTGTTCGTTGACTATTCATCAAGTCACCTGCACGTTAGTCAACAGGAAGTCACCTGTTCTAAGTCCAGATACAGCTGTCCAGGTCCCGGCAGTTCTGTATTCACCTGCTAGCAAAATGTTGGCAAGTTGAAGCCATCCAGTGTCCCCACAGGATAAAGACCTGAATGGGAAGTTGCTCCCATTAAGATTACAACCAAGAGCAGCCTACTGGACAGTCCTACTTTCTCCCACGGGTCACTATAGGTCAAAGTGACTCCGAGGCACCTCCCCACAGCATTCTGGGGCAGCTTCTCTCCAAGTCTCAAGATGTAGTGTAGTCAGCACCCATTGCCATCAGATCAATCTGACCGCTGGTCGATTGCCTAAGAAACAAGATAAGCATAGGTTTACTTGTGCTTATCTAGTAATCTGTAGTAAACTGTTCCATGTGTCAGCATGAAAAAAATACATAGAACTGTTTACAACAGATTAGTAAGTAAACACAAATAATCCCATGCTTACCTGGCTTACTGGGTACTCCATCTCTGTCAGAGGCTACATTTGAAAAGAGACGTTGGTTCTGTAGGAAGGTTCTAGGGGATTGGGAGAAAGGTGGGTACCAGCCACGGAGAGAGGCAGAGGCTTTGATGTGATGAAAGGCATGTGGAACTCTTCACTACAGATCAGTAAATAACACAAATAAACCCCTGCTTTCCTTGCTTATCGGGTCACCTGACCCTGAGCCACCCTCGTAGGAACCCTACAGGATAGAGCAGAACTGCCCCAGACTGTTTCTTGCATTCAATCTCTGTGCAAGCAGACCGCACATCTTTCTGCTGTGGAGCAAACTCTCAACCTTTCAGGTAAGAGCCGATTGCTTTACCCTCCATGATACCAGGGCTCTTTATGGAATGGTGACCCTCATAAAACAAAGAGACTATCATATTCTTGTCAGACGCCACCAGAATGGTGAGAAACAGAACGCTGACGTACGTAAAGCTGTAGATGGGGCAGGGGACCGTGATTGAATTCTGCCTAAATTCTAGAAGTTGATTTGGCTCTGACCCAGTTCCATACGTTGACTTGCCTTACTCTGGTCTAAGGGGGTGGGATCTCCCCCAAAGTGCAAACCCTTCAATATTCCTTATGGATCTATCATCCCAGAATCATTCCCTAACCCTGGGGGATATGACCGTGAGAAGACTTCTATTCACCAAGTTCATTTTCACGAACCTCTAAAGAGATTCAGGATGTCTCTGAGATGGCTAAACAGTAGCTTCACTGAGAACAGGGCAGGGAAAACTACCACAGTCACATCTGCTTCGGATTCAAACTGTACTGGGAAATTCCAACAGCAAGTCACGCCGACTGTTGTCCAGGTCTGTGGATGAAAGAGCAGCCGCTACGCTAGAGTCCTCTACCCATGATCCAGTCACCAGGAGCTAACCAAGAGGGCACGCTCTTCCTGGGTGCTTATCATGAAGCAGAATCATTCTAAGAGCTTGACGTGCATTCAGTGAATCCCAAGAACAACCTTAAAAGGCAGGAATTCGGATTATCATCCTGATTTGACAAAGGAAGAAGTGGGAGCCTCGAGAGTTTAAGTCATTTGTCCAAAGTTATTGCGTCAACAAAGGCCACCCTGCGTGCCACCCAGAGGGTGAAGGTTCCACATCTGCACTGGTCCATCCTGTCCGCCTGTCTTTCTTCTCCTTGCCTGAAGACACAGCAGTGTCCGGGACCCACCACAGACAATATGATGGGGACAAGCACAGTGTCGCCGTGGGACAGTGACATATTGTCTGCAGCTCTGCCCAGCTGGCATGGGAGTGGTTCACCCAGCTTTTCTGAGCACGTCCTCCCTTCTCTCGTGTCCTCTCCACTAGCTGCTCTGCTCTGGAGATAGTCCAGCCCAGGGAAAATCTACATGTGACCTCCTCCCTGGGGGACAGACAACAGAAAAGTGGGTGAAGGGAGACATCGGACTGTGTAAGACATAGAAAAAATAATTTATAAATTATCAAGGGTTCATGAGGGAGGGAGGCTGGGAGAGGGTGGAGAAAAAATGAGGAGCTGATACCAAGGGCTCAAGTAGAAAGCAAATGTTTTGAGAATGAGGATGGCAACAAATGTACAAATGCGCTTGACACAATAGATGGATGGATGGATTGTGATACGAGTTGTACGAGCCCCCAATAAAATGATAAAAAAAGAAAGAAAATTTAAGAGTACAGATATCATCAGGGTTACACCCCAGGGGCAAACTTCAAATGGTTCCTAGATCCTAAACTGGAAAGGACAGAAAACTGTCCAGCATCGCTTTTGTGCCACACCCAGGGAGCTTTCACGGCCATCAGATCAGTCTATGAAACTTGAGCAGTGTACTATTTGCATGCTAATGCATTAAGTCTTAAAAGAACTCCTTTCCTCCTTCCTGCATCTAACTTGTTGGGGTTCTGGTGCTTGGGGTTTTTTTTGTTTTTGTTTTGGTAACGGGCATTGTGAGGTTGAAATAGAGGGAAGAAAACATATTCATAAATTATCTTTGAAACCATCGAATAAAGGAGTTCCCTTTCTTTAAAAAAAAGCCTAACCCTAAAGGACAGACCTTTTTCCCCTCTGAGTATCTTCAGCAGTCGCTGGGGTGACTAAAATACCTAGTGTATCTTAGTGAAAAGCTATTTTTAAAAACACTTGATTTAGAAAACACTAATCATGATCATTCCATGGGAATTCTTAGTACACAAATTAAAAGTTTTAAATTACTCTTCAAGAATCTGTGAATTCAAGTAATCTTAATTAGAAAATAGCTGCACTAATGCATATTTATCAGGTACCTTTAAAGCCTTTCACGGATGCAAACTTACTTGGGAGGCTGTTTTATGATTTGTATTCCGGGGGTCAGTAAGAGCCCTAATTATGCAATGTTAGATTAGGAGTGCTGGCCCTGGGCCCTCGCTCCTGTCAGCTGACTCCACCGCTTTCAACCTCTGGACTTCCAGAGACTATCACTCGATTTTTCTAAGCCTGAGATTTCGCACGTGCAAAGAGGAATCCTAATTCCTGCCTCAAAGCGTTCTCTCCTGTTAAGTGCAATAATGCATGGGGGAGATTTGAATAAACGACAAGGCCCTGGAATCTAGCATAATGTTAAAACAAAGGTGACCGCCAGTGGCAGTGCGGCTCTGGGAGGAGCAAGCAGGCATCGTTAGGCGTTCCAGACATAGAGATGGACCTGGGTTGGCCGCCTCCTAGCCGTGGGTGAGTCTGGGCCAGGGTTGGTGCTCTCATTTGAGGAATGGGGATGAAAATAACAACTGGGAGTCCTGTGCAGATGGGGGGCCTAGAGATCGTATAAGTCGACCTCTAGCAGCATAGACACACACTGGGTGCTCAAGAAACGACACCCCGGGCCAAGGAAAGGATCCATTGACTCTAGCCACCTATGTGATGCGCTTCAACAAACCAACACAAGAGCAGAGCAGCATTCTGCTGAAGATCAGTACACCCAACAGTACAAGCTATGAAATAATAATATATAATTTATCAACTGTTCCCCAGGGTGGGAAAAAGGAGGAGCTGATAACAAGGGCTCAAGTAGAAAGATAATCTTTTGAAAATGATGATGGCAACATATGTACAAGTTTGCTCGATGTAATTGATTTATGGATTGTTATAATATCTGTAAGCGCCCCCAATAAAATTATTTGAAGAACAACAACACATCCATTAGCAGAGTCCCAAATATACGTCTGCCCTGGCCAGCGCCCTGGGTTCTCCTGCTTTAGACTCCAAAGGATTGACGGTGTACCTCTTTGTATTCTCGAATTTCTGCCACGGATTATTATTTTGGTCAACACTCAGGGAAGCTCAGACTCAGAAATAAAACCAATATTACCCAGTAGGCAGCCCCGCATGCAGGCTCTCCTCCTAGACGGCTTTGACTAGCTGTACTGGCCTTGCTTTTTGCTACTTCACCCGGGACAGGGGTGGAGTCCGGGAGAAGGGATCAGGAAAACGGCCAAAGGGAATCTGTTGTTATTGGGGCGGCTCAATGTGACAAACTCTGCCAGCTTGGAGATCGCCTCCCCGGCTCCGGCGAGTGAGCGCCGGGCTCCTTGGAGGAGTGGGCGCAGCAAGCGGGAGAAGGGCAGGCGTTTCGGGCGTCCAGGCCGCCGCCGCCCCCGGGAACCCCAGCGTGCCAGGTGTCAGGCCCCAAGCAGAGCGCTCTTTAGCCCAGTGGAGCCCGAGGGGCGCATGCAGCGGGGTTAGTCTCCATGCCACCATGCGGGCCCGCATTCCTGCTTGGCAACCGCGCTTCGGCAAAACAGACGGAATGCTTACAAGGATGCCAGCCCAAAATGGAGTGTCTCTGACTAGCAGGGAGGAGCTGATGTTCGCCATGAGGAAGCCCACCACCGTCACGCCGATGCCCAGGGCCAGCTGCAGCAGGGCGAGCAGCAGCGGGAACCGGCAGCCGCAGCACGTCCGGGCCTCCTCCTCGTCCCCGCGCTCCTGGGGCGCCCCGGGGCCCTTTTGCG